CAAAGGGTCCCGCCTCCGTCAGAGACAGACACGCAGGGCAAAGAGCACGGCAGCTGCCCCGCACGGCAGACCTCATCGGCCAGGCGGACCCGGAGCCCGGGTCGCCAAGGCAGCACCGGGCCAGCCCTCTCAGCCCACCTCAGGCCACAAAATGCCACAAGGAGCTGACGATTCACACGTGACGCCCGCCCAGCCGCAGCCCTCTGATCCAGAGGGAACCAGGCTAGCACAACCCCTTGCCTGGGCCTACGACAGCCTTCGGGCTTCAGCATAGAGAGGCCGGTCCTCCTCCCCCCTGTTCAGGTCTGCGAGAGGGTCAGGTGGCCAACAGATTTCCTAAGGAGGACTCCACAGACTGGGAATGTGTGGAACTAAACGCCCAGGCTGAAGCGCTGCTCCCTGGAACTCCCCAGCTCTGGTCAGCATCCTAGAGATCTTGGCTCTTCCTCTCCCCGCCACGAAAAGTGCCCAGAAAAGCTACAGGACAAAGCTGATCTGACAATCACACGTTACATTTCAAACCCTCCCACACCTTCTAACAAACAGCGCAAGATGAACATGAACAGACGGTGAACTGTGGTTGTCTTGGGAATATGTTCACATTCTACTTATCTTTAAGATGGCTGTGAAAGCAAAATATTTGATATTATGAACAAGCCAGCACAGAGAGGAAGAGGATTTCACTGGAGGTCTGGCCCATGTTTGCGTTCCCCTGGGCTCAGATCCCACCACCCAACACCCCATATGCCAAAGAAGCAAGCCTGACACGCCTGTGAGCACATCTGGCACATCCTCGCCACAAGGAGCATTACACCAACGAATTAGGAGATCGCTCTGCAAATCTCCTCCTGGTCGACAGGCAATGCCACCCAGATAGGGGCTTCCAAGGGCAGCAAGAGGGCAGCTTTCAAACCCAGCTAAGTGAAAAGACTGTCAGCCCAGGAGGAGTCTCCAGTCCCAGCTGGAACGGGAAGGAGCCGTGGCCTTCGGTGGCCCTTCGCCAAGCAAGGCAGGAGCTCCGCTGCTTCTTGCCCACCACCCTGGGCCTTTCTGAGGGAACTTGAGGTCAACTGGCAAAAGAAGGAAGCTGCTAATTTGGGTTGCCCTTCTAGCAAGCAGTTGGGTTCCTCCAACTGCTCCTATTGGCATGGCCAGCCTAGGAACTCTGCCAGGCTGGGAGCGAGGAGGAAAGTTTGCCCCCTTGGCACCCCTGTGCCTTGATCTGTTGAATCCTAAGCCAAAGAGGTCAAGCATTTGGGGAAGAGAAAGCCACCACTTCTGCAGTAAGATCAGATCAAAATCCAAGGTCTCCCTCAACTTCCCCAGACCAGCTCATCTGAGACTCACCTGGAGGGGCCTTGAATGCTGATCATGCCCAGCTCTTCCGACTGGTCAATCAACTGGCATTGAAACTGCCTCTCCTGCAGAACCGTCCTGAGGTGTGACCAGTTATACTGGGCAGCAGCTCCCCCAATAGCAAGGTAGTAGCCATCCCCTGGAAAAGATTAGGGTCAAGCTGGCAAATGCAGCAGCCCCTGCTGAAGCCATGGGTCAGGGCCCCAGCTCGCAAAAGGGAAGGCTGGCTCACCAGACTCCTGCAGGCTTGGGATTGGATGCCCCACACTTCTGCTCTGGCTTTAGAGCTGTCGGATGGATGGATGGGCCGGCTGAATTTATCCCTACCGCAACTCGGGAGACTCAGCAGTTTACAAGTGAGCTGATGTTCTGCAGACAACTGCAGACAACTGCAGAACACCCTTCAATCCTGGGCACCCACAATGCTTCCTGGCTGCCTACTTGTAGATTTGGGACTGGGCAGACCCTTTCCTTAATTCAGCAGAGCTGCCTTGAAGGGCCCTGAGGTCCCAGGAGCAGAGCTGAGTCTGTCAAAAGCGAAACAAGCCGCTCCTGGGTCCAGGCAATCTGAACATCATTGAATCAAGATGGAATACTGGTGACCTTCCACCTGAAGTTCTCTTGGCCATCGCCTTCTTCCAACTTAGCCTGCCCCTCTGGACTTCCCCGTAGTACCGTCCAAGTAACTACCGGGCCTCTTAGCTTCTACAATCAGCCCAGGCTGGCTTGGGGTTGCCACATAACTGGGCAATATAGAAATAAATGGAAGTGGAAGTGGAAGCAAGGTATTACGGGGGAGAGGATACAAGCCCTACTCCCTCCCTCGAGCCCCGGGACGTGGCCCTTTCAGCATCGGTGGCTGCGAGGTGCTGCCTCTTGCTGGAAACACACCCTGTGCCCTGGAAGGCTGACCGGGTGCTGCCTTCTCGTCCTCCTCTCCTGCAGCACCTCAGCACACAACCCGGCCGGGCCCGGCCCGCCCCCCTCCCAGAATCCCCAGCCTCAGTTCAAGGCTCCAAAGCTGCCTCCCCCCAGAGAAGTGCTGGGGAGGAAGAAACTCAGGAAACATTTGTGTCTCTTCTTCCTGCCTCACCTAATAATTGGCCCTAATAAAAATCAGGTGGCCTCCAGGAGCTGCAATAATAGATGCCCGCTTTAATTGCCTGTCAAGCGGAGACTCTCTTGGCTGGCAGCTCCCGGCACCCGAAATAATGGCTTGGCAAATCTGGCTCTGGAGCAATAATCAGCTTTCTTTTTAGATACATCAATCTCACACTGAGGGTGTCAGATTCCCTGGTTCAAACTTTGCAGAACTTGCTGGGAGAAGAACAGCCAGAAGCTGCAAAAAACAAAAAACAAATGCCAGCTAGAATTCTCTGCCAAGGGACTGGGCAAACTGGGCCAAACTGGGGATCCCACTGTCCAAGGAGAAGGACAAGAGGGCATGCCTTCTTCCCACCTGCAGTGTCCTTGGGCCACCTCCCCAATGGCAGTAGCCCGATTCTCTCCTCTAGGGCTCAGGGGGAGCTTCCCAGCTGCCTGGGGATTGCCAACCCTGCAAGGTAGGCAAGGTCAGGTGTCTCTGGGAAAGCACTTTAAGGTGGATCAGGAACTGCAACTGAATGCCGAAAGCCTGTCTCAGCCGCCCTCTACTTCGGCCTGTACCTAGCAGAACCGAGGGCTTCTCCTTGCCCAGGACTCAAATGCCTGTCCTGGGAGGGCTTGCTATTCCCCTCCGGATCTCCAAGTCAAACTCAAACTCCATCTCCATCAAAAGCTCATCAGAAAGCATTCTTAACGGGCTTCGAAGATCCAGGCGAATCGGTCTCTCAAATAGCAAAAGTCGTTTTTGCCTAGCTGAAACGGGCTAGATGGAGGATAATTTTGTGGCTTCTCTTTACGACTTTTTCCTTTCCTGCTACTTCTTTTCTCTGGTCATACTCCAGATGTGTGTATGGATGGGAGCTGTTCAAGCATCTGAACTGGGTTCTCTGGGCAAAGGCAAATGAATTATCCATGAAGAAATCAATCTCTACCAGGCCGAACCCCATGCAGAATTCCAACCCCAGGGACGGCAAGTCCATACAGCAGGAGCTTCCTCTGCCCAGAAGAAAATGGCAGGGGGGGGTGTCTTCTTTCTGGATCTGGGGCCAGAGAGAAGGCAGGAGCTGGTCCCACTTAGTTCCTCCATAGCAGTATGTTTGGGGAGGATGGAGGTACCCTGAGGACTGTGCCAGTCCCACAGATTCATCAGGGAAGGAAACCCAGCTTCTGGGTTACACCCAAGGTATTTCCCGTCTAGTCTACAAACTCTGTCAGGCCCAGCAGACAAACTTCAGTTCAGGAGAAACCGGGGAGAGGTCCGTCACCTTCAAACGCAGGTGCCAGTACTGAGTCCTGGGGTCCTGGGTCAATCGTACTGACAGTCAAATCACTCTCGACTCCCCCGTGTTTGTTCAGCATGCACGTGTAAACAGTTGTTCCTGGGGAAAGAGAATCATGTAGCAGTAGCAGCAGTGCTTCACGGAGGCCTGCGGGTGGAGGGAGAGCAGAGGGAGAAAACCCCACGTGGGTCTTCCCAGCCCTTCCGCACCTGGATCCAATCATGGTACAACCATTCCCAACAGCTTCCTTACCCTGCCAAGTCCGTGACATTGACTTCGTCTGATCCCCAGCGTTTAAGTCAACCTTAGCCATACCAGGGTTAAAGCCATCTTTCCCCCTTACAGCAGCAACCACGGCAATCTCAAGGGCCATCAAATCTGGCCCTCTTTGCCAGCTGTGCCGTTGGGGTGCAGTCAGGTGCCCCACAAAGGCAAGCAGGTCCTCCCCCTCGTGTCCCCAGGCTCCCTGACCCAGGGCCATCTGCCCCCGCCCAGGAAGAGCCAAGGAGCTGCCAGGCTGTGAAAGAGCTGCCCTCTCCTGAAGGCAGAATGCCACCTTCACAAGCTGGCCAAACAGCTTGCAGAAACATCCACGGCTCTCTCAAAACCAGACCGTCCTGCTTGCCCAGCGGGGTTTGGCGCTCTTTCAAAACTCTGCGCACCTGCAAAAAAGACTTCTGAAGACACCCAGGTTGAAAGAGCTGCACTCGAAGGAGGTTAGGCTCATGTGGTGTCATGGTGAAAGTGGCCTGGGTTCAAATCCACCCATGGTTACAGAAGCTCCCTGGGTGACTTTGGGAGATGGAAGCAGCAGAGCCCCACACCTGCCCCATACCATACCAACTAGCAGCCCCTTCTTCCTAACCCTGGAAGGCTGGTCCTTCTTCCTGCTGCCAAGGGTTTCGCAGAGAGTGTGAAGCCGGCAGAGGGGCTGCCAATCACCCCCTCACCTTATCAGGGCTGTGAAGGTGAGTCCGCACCCCTCCCCAAGATGACCGAAGGAGCCCCACTGGCTTAGAGGACCAACCCCTCCCCTTTGGGGCCAAACTGGAGATCCAAGAGCCAGGGCAGGTCTGGTCCAGCTGCCCAGACAAAGAGCAGCTAATGGGCCTCGTGGAGTTGAGACCAGGGCTGCTGGGCATCAGGCAGAAGGGTGCTACCAGCCCATCAGGGATCCCTGCACAGTGGTGGTGGGGAGGGGCCGGGGGGGCTGGCCTCAGCCCTGGTGCTATGAACTGGTCTGTTGCCTCCTGCAACGAGCACGGCTCAGATACAGAGAGCGGAGGGCACCCCTCAGGAGGGGTTTGCAGGACAACAACAAGACTCCCTCTTCCAAGTCCAGAGGCCCCAACAGGGGAGACTCAGCTCAAGGCATTGGTTTCGGGGGGGAGGGAGGGAAGGACCTGGGGCCCTGTTCAACCAGGGAGGGTCCGGCTGTACCTGGGGGCTTGCGAATGTCAGCTGTGAACAGCCAGTCAGCTGCCTTCCGGGCCTCGGGACCGACCAGATAGAATTTGCCAAAGTAAGACATGTCAAACACAGCCAGAGCGTTTCGGCAGGTTAAGCATTCATTCCTGATCTGAAAATGCAGACACGGCACGCCGCCGGGTGAGGAGCCGCAAAAAGACCCACCATTCATGTTTCTTTTTTAAAATCTGGCATCCTTCGGTGGACTTCTCTGCTCTGTACCCCTCTCTGACATCCACAGCTCCTCACTGAGGGCCTGCCACTTGACAGGATGGCTCGCATTCTTCCCTCCCCAGGAAGCAATGTCCTCCAGGCTGACGGGGGCCTCAGCCCAGGGTGAAAACAGCTGGGCAAGGCAGGGTTTGCATGGGCCCTGAAGAGGACCCTCAGTCTGGAAGCTGTGCTGCAGCTGACCGGGACCCTCACTGGGGTCCTGGGTAGGGTGGGGAGCAGACGAACTCCCCTGTCCTCCCCCTCCCCCTGTGAAGGCTTCCTTATGCCATTTAGGTTCCAGAAAGCATCTGTGCTGGTGGCCAGGCTTGGAATAGCTTGCGATTTTAGTCTTGTGCAGCAATTTTCTTGCTATTGTTACTGGATTTTATGGGTTTTTACAGGGATATGCAGGGAAGGAGGGACGGGGGGAGGGAACCACTTGCTGCCCTCCCTTAATCTGCTTCAGAAGCTGATCCCCAGCTCAAATTCAGCCACTTCCATGTCACAGGCTACTTTTTTATCCCACACTAACCTTCGCAAGTTATTCAGTTCGAGCGTACTGAGGGGTGGGGGGCAGGAGTGTGATTCTCCTCTCACACATCATGGTCACTCTGGCCCCACTTTCAGCCTGCTGCACTTACAGATCTGGCCCCAGCTGGAGGAGGCCTTTCTTTACGTAAGTATCCTTCGGAGTCCTTGGGGTTCTCTGAGCTTGGTTGTTTTCTTGCAAACATTTTGTTACCCAGCTAGGTCACATCTTCAGATGTTTGCAA